GACACGTTAGAAGAAGGTGGCTATAGATCTCATTATGTATTTGCCGCAAATACCTCATAATCACATTATGATTGCTATCTTTATAGATCGACTCTGAAAGCAACTTGACTTGGTTGTGATGCATTCGGATATTGATGCACTAGTACTTCAATGGATCTTCTTTGATACTATCTTTTGTGACCATAGATTACCTTATGTCATCATTTCAGATTGAGATCCAAGTTTCAAGGGAAGCTTTTGGCAAACTTTGTTCAAATTACTTGACACATGACTTGTTATGTCTACAATCATTCATCTTGAAATAGATCAACAAATAAAGCATGTAAATTGGATCTTGAAGGATATGATGTGGGTATTTGTGGTAGTTCATTATAATAATTGGGATGAATACTTAATGCCCTTAGAATTTGCTTACAATGATAGTAATCAAATAAATATTGATTATTTATCATTTTTCTTTAACATTGGTTAACATCCAATTATCCCAATAATTCTCTATTGTCTCATTAACACCAACAATCCAACAATGGAAGAGTTTATACAATGGCTTATAATGGCCTTACAAGAGGCACGACACTGCATCCTTACTGTAGAAAATTGATAGAAGTAATATGTGAATAGCCACCATCAACACGAGATCTTCTAGGAGGGTAATTAGGTATTATCCTTCAATGCCAATTTGCCACTTACTACATCAATCCAAATCCCTAAACTAGCACCTCAATGACTTGGACTTTTTTACATTTTTATATTTTTGCACTGATTTTTGATGTCACATATTGCCTTGAACTTCTACCACATATTTAGGTCCCTCGAATCTTTTATGTTTTGCAATTGAAGGAATTTTATACCAAGCCTAAGAACTTTTGGAATTGACACCAACTACCACCATCACTAGTTGTAATTGATGATCAACAAGAATATGAAGTGGATAGTATTTTGGAGCATTGCTATCTTTGCTGTGGTAGTGGACATCCACAACTTTAGTATAAAGTTTTTGGAAAGATTACTCATCTATGATGGAACATGGAAACTTGTTTAGAACCTCACTCATTGCCAAGAGACAGTTTGGAGATACCATTGGAAACAAAACAAGGATATTTTATATTAGTGGATAAAAATTAACTGTAATAGGATATAAATAAGATATTTGTATTATTGACAAATATGGATAGATAGTCAGAACCATGCTTAAAAAATTATAGAAGTTTAAAATTGGGACTAAATTAGTAGATTATATATGATCTATTGTGGAATATTTTAGAAAGAGCTTAGGGCAATTATCAAAGCAGAGTCCACCATAGAACCTTTTGAAAGGAGTTTAAGGTGGTTGTCTAAGTGTGCTCTATTATCTAAGAACATTTTAGAAAGTCAAGGGTGATAGAACAAAGTATAAATAGGACTAGCCAAGGCCTTCTAAGCATCTAATTAGATATGGCTTCAGACTTTCTCACTTAGTAAAGTTTAATTTTGCACCTTCTTGTTCAGTTCTATTTTGTTTTATTTCCATTTGAACAATTTTAACTTTCATGTCTTATTTTGTTTACTTCTACTTAATTTTCTTATGGTCTATTTTATCTTACATTGTGATGAAATTTTATATGACCATGGATTAGAAGAGTCTTAGACTTTCAAGTTAGATTGGTCCTATTTCGATTTTTTTATTTTATTTTATTTTTAGATTCATGTTCTTGACAGTAGTTTATGGAGTTTATATTATAAAAAGCTTAGCCCAAATATAAAAACGATTAGACCATTAATTCTCTTCCAACTTATGGAGTTTCATAATATAATAGATATATTTGTAAATCTGACCTTATATGCACAAGGTTTAGATATTACTCTTTTAGAAGCTATGTAGTATAATAAATCTCTTTTGACTACCTATTCCTTAAATATTATATGAAATATTATTAAAAATAAATTAATTAGCTTTATTTATAATATTTAATTGAAATCATATCAAATATTTAATTGCTTGTCATAGCGCTCAAAAAGTTGGTTAAAGATCGCAAAAATAAGTTGTAAAAGGAAGACCAAACATACTTAGATTACATGTCTAAAATATTCACTTCCAAAAAGATGGCATTTTCTTATAAGTTCTATTATTTAAATATTATATAAAAGATATTTTTAGTATTTCTTATCTTATTGATAAACAAAAGTATTATTGAGTAAGTCATCAAAGTCACTCTTTTTAGTAATTCCATCATGAAAGATTTAAAGTGATTTTCAAGTTAAATTCTTTAAATCTTTCATGATGGAAGTTTGATTATTTGATCATTTCATGGGGCTATGTTGCAATAATTTTAAGTACAAAGAAATTTTATTTGAACTTTTTCTTATACATTGTTTTAAATACTTGGTTGCAAATTGCATATAAAAGATAAAATGTTGCAGGGGAGAGAGCCATCAGACGCAATAGAGGATAAGATATTACAGGGAAGGAGAGAGTACCACATGTTGTGCACAATTAGGTAATTTTGGTATTTTTTTTTAACAATCTATTCAAAAATATACAATATGTGAGACCCTCTTTCTTTCTTATTTTCACATATTAAAACATAAAAGCCACTATTTGGACCTTAATGAAGACAAAAACTTTAATAGAATTGTCAAATTTCTAATACCTTATCAAGGTGGAAGATATGTATGCTACTATCAACAATTCTATGAATAAATATATTATTATCAAAAATATAGGAATATTCTTAATATTTTGATATATTTGAAGGATGTGTATGATATTTTTCTTATTTATTTCTTTGCATTATATATAATGAATATTTAATCAACTTGTATCTTGAAAAAATATATATAAAATTTTATTAATATATATTTTTTATATATTAATATCATATTTTTTTTATTATTCTTTGAGCACTATTAGAAAATAATTTATACATAAGATGGCTTTGAATTTCTTTTTTGAACATATTAGATTAGTCTTTGTAGATATTTTACTTTTCTTCTCATTTGAAGATGATATTTTCATATTTATTTAGTGCACTCCCTAATAATAGTTGTTATGGTTGTAAATATGCTTTTAATGATAGTAATTTTAGATATAAAGAAAAATATATCTATACTTTCAATTATATAATTTTAAAATCTTGCACTATAGAAAGTTATAGATATATAATCAAATATATTTTGTTAATGAATTAAACCTACTTCAAAGATTAATAACCTATAACTTGCAAAAATAGAAATTATAAACAAGTAAACCTATCATTTTGAAATGATCAATATGCATTGTGTGAGTATGTATAGTTAAAAGACATGAGCAAATAGAAGAAAGCTATTCAAATCAGTAGATATTTATTTTAAAATAATAATATAATGCTTCAAGTATTGAACACCATGGATTAATAAAGCATATTTTAAAGCAAAGAAAGTATATTAGGTAAATTTTTATATCACATTCAAAAAAATATAAATATTTGGTCATCCTTCACATGAAGATAGTACCAAATTTCTTACATGACTTTATTTGCTAAAGATATTGTTGTAGTTTTTTATCTTTATTTATTACCTTTGCTCAAGTAAATAGCCATAAAGTTTAATTTGATACTTAATCATGTAAGAACTTCTATTCAAATCAAGTGCAATACATTCATTAATCTAATTTTCTTTTTCTTTATTAAAAATCAAGTTAGATCCAATACAAGACACTAAAAAGATGTTATTGATTGGGATTTTTATATAGTTATTTATGTTATTTTTTCAGCATGTGTGTGTTTATATATATATATATATATATATATATATTAATGTATGTATACAAACACATATAGTTTAAAAGTAGACTTTGGATATGATTTACTAATTTTTAAAATTTTCAAAGTTTTGGAATTTGAAAGTATTTAGTGTGATTTATTTTTATTTTTTTTGTACTTATCTTTAAAAAATTCTTAAAAAATGATTTATGCACTCATAAATTAAGACACACATATTTATATATGGTGATTTAATAATACTACATTTCAACTATTTGTTTGTTTGTTATTTTATTTTATTCAATTTCAATCTTCTTTTATATATGTATACAATTTTATTCATTTGTTCTTTCATTTAATTTTTCTAATATTCTCCAATATGTGCGCATTGGGAATAATTTTCATGTTTATCATATTAGAATATTTGCAACAATCAAAATTATACTTAGATATTTGAAACAATCTAAGTAGTAACCAAAACTATGTATTTGGTACTCACTATCAAAACTTTACATCAATACATTCCATAAAGTTATTTTATGATTCAAAATTTAAAATTTATTTAAGATATGCTTGGCTAGTTTTTAAATTTCAAAAATCACATAAAAGTATAGAGATCTAGTAATTAATTATTAGCAATATCAAAAAACCAACAGAAGGTGTAATGGTCTTGTAAGCTTTTGCTTTTATTGAATCTACAAGCATGAAGTAATGGAAGGGGATAGAGAAAAGAAATAGTTCTCATCACAAAAATCAATGCTAAGAATTATATTATTATTGAAACACACTTAAATTTAACCTAAACAAAGCAAAAATATATTTTTTAAAAATATTTACTTAATAATTTTGAATCCATACATACCTACCTACATATGTACACAAATACATTCATAGATGTTGATATTTAAATACTTCAAATTTAAATACATCGTATTTCACTACCAATTTAAAAAGTTTAAACGTGGAGTAGGAAAAGTAAGTGATGCATAAAAAGGAACTTTTAACAAAAATCCCAAATCTCCGTTATTGTTAATAAACAGATTCAACCGAAGCCGAGATTCGAACCCACGTGGGTACCAAAGAAGGCCATTAATGAGAGCGCTGGAGATGAACGTTCAGGGGAACGTAGAAGAAGAATCAATCCATCCAATGGATGAATGATAAATTCCGGACCGTTCCTCTTTCCCGCCACACCCTAAAACCTCGGTATCCTGGCTCTGGTTTCCCCGCTCGCGCTTTTTTGCTCTGCAGCAATCAGAAGCTCATGAGGTACGTGTAGTGAGGTTTTTTTCTGCTTCCCCATCCGATTTTTCTCCGGACCGTTTCCCGTTGACGACATTCTCTGTGCATTCGTCGCTGTCGTAGCTGCCGATCGAGCTCTCGAACGGCCTCCGTCGAGTTTAATTTGCCAATCTGAGGGTTCTTGATGGTTTGGTTGACGTTGTCTGCGAGGTGGGCTGTGCGGAGCGTTGGTTTTATTATTTCTATTCTCGAGCACTGTGAGTGGAGTTTTGGAGTTTTAGTGGTTAGAGAGAATGCATTTTGGATGAGAGCGTTGAACTAACCCCACTAGGGTGCCCTGCTCTGTTGATAGCGTGGTTTCGGGCAAGTGTTCTCTCTAGGTAGTGGAGTCTCGCGTTGAAATTTTTATTTTTTTGGATTTTAAGGTGTTGCCGTTGTTTTAGGATTCTCGTGTGATTTGCAATGCAATGACTGCCGAGGCGACGTTCGAGCGGAGTCTGCGGTAATATGATAATTGAAGGTTTTGAGAAATTCGAGTGAGAAGTTGCTGAGGCATTCATTTCCATCACCATGTACATCAAGCAGGTACAAAGACCTCTAAGAATTGCTGTCATCATTATTGTTTTGATTGAATGGAAGGGGTCAATTGCCTTGCTTATTTTTTTCATTTTAGCTTAGAGGTTCTATATTTCTAGTAGCTCTGCTGTTGAAGAACTGGTGGGATGCTATGACAGTAAAATTATAGCATGTCATGAACAAGAAGTCTGATGCTGTTGACAGTGTTTACGTATTCATGCATTACTTAATTCGACTTCATTATCTCTGGAACTTTACTTGAGATATGAAGGGAGCTTTCTAGTTCTTTTTTGCCTTTTGTATCATGAAGACTTGAACCAAATAGATCTAGCCTTGCTAAAGTGAATGTGGTGGAGTGTCGGGAAAGATTGCTAGTCAAATTCAATTTTACTATGTTTATTTTGGATTCTCGCGCAATTGTTTGAAACTGTAGTGCAATAAAGCTACTGCACTGCAGAGTAGGGCGAAGGAAGCTTGAATTCGTCGCTTCTGCAGGGTAATCTAGCATTGCCAGGAAGGAGATATTGGGTCTGGTCATGATCGTTCTGCTAGCTTAGTTACCTGGATTAAGATCATATGAGGATACTTAGGAGAGGGAAAAGCTAAATAGTCAGTCACGGGTGTATCTAATCCGAAGATGAGGATGACCATTGTATCTAGAAGTGTAGAGAGCATCAAAATTGTTTTACTTAATCATCTCCCTAACGTAGACAACCATGTCTATTTCATCGTGCTCTCCTCCCAGCTAGCTTTGAATTCGGCGGGAGGGTCGATATTTCATTATGTGTACGGAACTGGGATTTGAGTTGTTTATGGCTTATTTTATTGTAAGGTTTTTGGTGTGGTCTTTGCTGAATTGCCTACGGATGCCATTATGTCGGTTCAAAGGTGATAATACTTGGACGTGGCGTTTCCGCCTTCAGGTAATTATTGAGGGCTTCAAGAGCTACAAGGAGCAAGTCGCAACCGAACCATTTAGCCCCAAGCATAACTGTGTCGGTGAGGCCTGGAACTTCTCGTGGTGCTTGAATCTGATTTAGTTGGACAATTTGAACAGGACTCTGGTACTTGTGATGCTTCTTGGGCAGGCTGTTGTATAAGACTTCTTGAAATGTTCTTTAAACTTTTGTCATTGTTGGTCCCCTCTCTAATATTTATCATTGTAACTGTGCTCGTTGTTCAGTTGGTGCAAATGGCTCGGGCAAAACCAACTTCTTTCATGGTATAAATACCTTCTCAATTTCGCCTCGAAGCTATATGTTCACTATGGATGCACTCTGCTTTGTAAATATGTCAGTAATTCTCAATTTCTTGTGAGGATTTTACTTGAACTTCACTTTCCTCATACTTAAGCTATTTCTTGATGAAGGATGGCAGCACCGCATACTCAATAATATCTTTGCAATGCTTATCCTCTTCTTAGGTGTTTTCTACCAAGCACTGTCAGGCTGAATCATTCCATAGTGAATGAATATGTGTCTTGACGATTTTTTCTTTAAATCGTGATTGTGGTGGATGTGCAGCCATCAGGTTTGTTCTCAGCGACTTATTTCACCATCTCCGGGCTGAGGATAGGCAGGCTCTTCTTCATGTTCGTATTTTATCCAAACCTCCTGTTGATATTTTATTGCTACACCATCTAGTTCTTAGGGTTTGATGTTACTTATACACTTTTAGTTAATTATTTTTCTGTTTGCTGTTCCTATTCCATGTACACATTTGCTGCTGCCACTTATTTTGCCGTGTTTTGCCGTTGGCGCTCTTTCTGTCTTCACTGGAAATATGTTCGAAATAAGATTAATTCAGATCCGAGTTTGGTTCTGGGCAATATCACACTGCTTCTGGGCAGCGTAGTATGTCTGGGAAGTAGGATTAATTCAGATCCGAGTTATACCGACCCAGATACAACCCTCCTGTTTCTAGTGTGCTGTATAAATCAACCCAGTTCAGTTGCTTCACCTGAGGTGGTGCTTATATTTCGTCTTTGTATTCCAGGAAGGCGCAGGACATCAAGTTTTGTCGGCGTTTGTTGAGATAGTGTTTGACAACAGCGACAATCGCATCCCTGTACAAAGCTTTTCTCATACTTCATACTCTTTATCTATTGATGTCGTTGACTTACACATACATACATATACTGATGGGAAGCAATCATGTCTAAAGTGATTGTTGCATCATCATAACAAGCCTAGTGTCATGATTCTCAATTTCAGGGGTCTTCCTCATTTTAGGCTTATGGGAGTAAAATTATAATTATTCAAGAATACTGTGCATGGACTCCCTGAATGCTTACTTTGTTTGCAATTGTCTTACTAGGTTGACCGAGAGGAAGTGCGATTGCGACGGACAATTGGTGTAAAGAAGGACGAGTACTTCCTCGACAAGAAGCACATCACGTAGGATTTTGTTAACTTCACTGTTCTTGTGAAGTGACCAATTTTGATCAGTTGTCTGCTTTCTATGTATGAATATCCCAATGGAGAGATGTCAGTTTCTCCTGCTGGTTGTTATGTCTCTTAATATGTTGATCTTACTTGGTTTAGAAAAAATAATGGTGTGTTACTATGACTGTATAATCCCATGTTGTTCTTCCAGCGGATTCGTTCATTCTCCCTGTTGGCATTTTTGTGCTTTTTTACATGAATCTTATTTATATTAAGATTCGACATACTTCACCTGTTATTAACTTGCAGGAAAACTGAAGTTATGAATCTACTTGAGAGTGCTGGATTTTCTCGGTCAAACCCCTACTATGTTGTGCAACAAGGAAAGGTATTATTTCAATTAGAGAGTCACTTCCGATCTTTTCTCTGATCGACGTAAGGTCACCCAGCTAGACTTTTTTGGGTTTAGTTGGAAACTTTGTTTTGTCTTTGGCGTTTAAGCCCGAAGGATGTAAATCAGGGTATTCAAGCATAAATATTTGGTGGCTAAATAGCTGTCTGGTTCTCTTGTACTAGTTCATACATGAATGGTCTTGTTTTTTGGTTGTTGGATAACTCAATAATAAGATTTCAGCTTTTAAATTCAAGTTTCTTTCTATGGTATAACTCGTGGGACGTGTTCATGATTTGCAGATTGCTTCTTTAACATTGATGAAGGACCATGAGCGTCTTGATCTGCTGAAGGAGATCGGGGGCACTCGTGTGTATGAAGAACGCAGAAAAGAGAGCTTGAAGATTATGGTGGATACAGGCAAGTATTAGTTATTTCTGGAGTCTTCTGTAGCCAAAATGTAAAATTGCAAAATCAGAACGCAAATTCAAAGTTTTCAGTTTGTCTGGTCTGTTTCATCTTTTTTCTCTGGTCTTGCTACAGAGTAATTTCCCGCATGAGCTTTTAGACCATTCCAAATTTGGATTCAGCTATCTGATATATTCATTGCTTAAATCCTCAGAGAACAGAAGAAAGCAAATCATACAGGTGGTACAGTACATTGAGGAGAGACTGAAAGAACTTGATGAAGAGAAAGAAGAGCTTAAAAAGTATCAGCAGCTGGACAAGCAACGAAGATCCTTACAATACACGATTTTTGAGAAGGAGCTTCTTGATGCAAGGCAAAAGCTTGAGGAGGTTGGTTTATCTGTACCTGAAATCTGCGTTTTGAGAAGCTAGTGTGTCGTTGCTGGGAATGCGCTGTATGTGCAATATCTTTTGTTTTCTGGATAGTTTTTTAATGCCGATGAATGTTCAACTTATAATTAGCATGTATATTTACTGAAGATTTGAAAGATCCGCATTAAAGTACTACATTTTAAATTCTATCTTTGTGTCCAAATTCTAATAGATTGGTTCGTATGTACAGATTGAAGAAGCTCGAGCAAGAGTTTCTGAAAAGTCAAGCGAAATGCACAACACTGTTGTTGATGCTCATGAAAAGTCCAAGAACTTGGAGAAGGAGCTGAAAACTTTGAACAAAGAGTTGCAGTCTTTATTGAAAGAGAAAGAAACTGCAGAGCGACAGAAAACAGAGGTTTTGAAGCTGTATGCGAAGAAGGAATTAGATGTGAAGGATGTTGAAGAGCGAATGAGAGCAGAAGCACGAACTAAGGTTGGCTTCAAGCACTCTAATGGTTGCTCATTAGAGCACCTTAATTGTTCCAGCGTGACTTTATAACCGGAACAGATTTTGTGCGATGGATATTGTGGAGAGATGCGTTATATCATCCAAAGAGCACCATAACAATTTAACATTGTGGATGCAATGTGTCCAGAGTTCATGTTTTGATCCATTGCAAGTCCTTTTGTTAAGATCCTCGTAATTCTTTTTTAATAAAAAATTGCATTCTAAGGTTAACTGTTTTGTGTAATGTTACCAGGTGGAAGTCCAAAGAGAACTCAGAGCGATAGAAAAGGAGGTTGAACGATCCCAGAAAGACCTTGAGGATGTTAGTCCTGTCTTTGATCAACTCATGGCTCAAGAAGAGGCCATATTGAAAGGGTATATATTCTATTAAAAGCTTTGTTCCGTCTTTTTGCTCATGAGGTATTTTCATGGTATTTATTTACACTCAAGGTTTGGACTTCCATTTCCAGGATCGCAGATCGTGAAAGACAACTCAGTATTCTCTATCAAAAGCAAGGGAGGACGACCCAGTTTCGGAGCAAAGAAGATAGAGATAGTTGGCTTCAGAAAGAGATTGATGACATTGAGCGGGTCATGGCAGATGTTCAAGAGCAGGTGGGGAATATTAGCGTAACATTTTTTTTGATTCATTAGTTCGCAATTGATAGGGTTAGGGGTACATCACTGGTTTCACATCAATAATGCTACCGCTGAGAAATTATTGCTACCATCTGCTTGTTTATTTATAATCTTGTTGTGCGTATCAAAATGTATTGTGTTGGTTTTAATCTTTGAATCATGGCAAAAAGTACTAAAAAGCTGCATTCTTTATAAGCAATCTAATCTAGTCTTTGTACACAAGCTGAAGGGGAAGTACTTCTTCACATGGAAGTTGAAACAATGGACATTCTAGGAATTCATTCTGTTATAAAAGTGTAGAGCCCTTAATTTTCAACTTGAATGCATCATATGAGTGAAGATTATCGTTCACTCTGAGGATGTTTTTGTAATTTCATGTTAATTTGTTTCTGCTAGTATTGTTGGCATTTATATTTCAGTCTCTAAGTTCGTACTTTGTGAACGTGCAGATTACCAAATTAGAACTAGAAGCGAATAATCTGAACGAGGACTATGCCCAGCAGAAGAGAAACATTGAAGCTCGTGAAGCTGAGATGAATGAACAAGAGGCGATAGCTGATAAATGCCGCCAGGATTTCTCAGCCATAAAAATTGAAAGGGATGAACTTCAGGAGAACCGGAAGTAAGTTTTCCTTCTAAGATTGATAAACCTAGCTCAATCATGGCATAAATCTTAGGTTCTTGAGACCTCTAATATTAGATCTATTTGGATGGACAGCTAAAGAACTAGATTTTGCCCCTAACTCTGAATTAGTGCTTGTTTAACAGTTGATCTTAAGTTGAGATTTCTTTTCGATGTCAGGTTGGGAAGTAGCAGCACTGTACCTTGTGCACGATGCAAGATATTTCAGATATCACTAACACGAGCTTCTTGCAAACTAACTCTATTTTTTTGAGCATGTGAAACTTAAAACTTTGAACACTATCGATCTGATCTTCGATCTTCTGAATGAACACATCTGCAGGGTGCTTTGGAAGAAAGAGAATGAACTTAACCGTGAGGTTGAGAAATTGAAAGCGGACATTGTCAAATCGGAGAAGAGTATGGATCTGGCTGCTCCAGGAGTAAGTTCATGCTTCAGTACTCTAACTGGTCATATCCTGTTTTAGTGTCCTTGTTACAAGATTCATGTCCTTTCCTCAGCTTTCTGTTTTATTATTATTGCAATCTACAAATTTCACTTACTTTGATTATATGTGAAGTTTACTAAGTGATTCACTCATTTTTTTTTGTGTTCAAACACGTTACTATAAATTCAGTGCCTTTTTTGGGTTTTTGTCTTACATTGGTGATTTGTTTCTCTGTAGTGAAAGTATCTTCTGAGTTTCACATATGTAACACAGTTATTTCCTTGTTTTAGTTATGGAACTTTTATTGAGCAGCTTGGTATCTTTGTACTTTCCTGAGCAGGACATCCGTCGGGGCCTCCAGTCAGTTCGCAGAATCATAAAAGACCATAATATTACAGGAGTGCATGGTCCCCTTGCTGAGCTCTTGGAATGTGAGGAGAAATTTTTCACTGCTCTTGAAGTTACAGCAGGCAACAGGTACCGTAAGAAGTTTTAATTTGGTTTCTACGACTTCACAATTTTTGCAAGTAAAATATTGGGCCGATCAGTGTATGTTGAAGGCATGAAATGACTCAAATAAATACTGGTTGGTTGCAGTTTGTTCCATGTAGTGGTTGACAACGACGAAATCTCAACAAGAATTATTCGGTACTTGACTTCTGAGAAGGGCGGAAGGGTCACTTTCATGCCTTTAAATCAAATCAGATATTCTCGAGTGAGCTATCCCACAGGTCCCGATGTTGTCCCTTTGTTAAAGAAGATCAAGTATGACCTCCGATTTGGCCCTGCTTTTGCCCAGGTCAGTTTATTGTATGATCCCCTTGTGCTTCAGCAGTTACTCTCTGTATCTGCGTCATGGTCTTAATAGATCTTTGTCATCGTTCACTCGTTTTTCCCTGGTTTTATTTTTCATAGTAACTTGTTTTAGATCCTTTCAAAAGAAATATCTGATTGTGAGGAGTGTTTCGTTTGTAATAAATACATTGTAGGTTTTTGGAGGGACTGTAATATGTAGAGATCTTGAGGTTGCAACAACTGTTTCACGAACTGCTGAAGTTGACTGCATAACATTGGATGGTGAGTGGCTTGTCTACCTTCAATTTAATTGTACATGTCATAAGTTTCGAGTTTTTTTCCTAGGTCTGACTATTTAGAATCGTGATGCTCTTTCACTTAGCAAGGTGATTTTAGCTGATCTGAGCTCCATTATCATTTTTGAAGCGTGTCGTGATTGTATAATTATTGAAACCTGACAATAGGTGATCAAGTAAGCAAAAAAGGAGGTATGACTGGCGGTTTCTACGACTACAGAAGATCAAAACTGAAGTTACTTAGTGTGATTCGTGAAAATAATAAGCTTGTTAATGTGAAGCAACAGGAGCTGACTAAAGTGAGAGCTGAATTGCAAAATATCCTCTTGACTCTGCTTCACTTGCAGTGTTGTCTTTTCTTACGTTATGTCATGTTGTGTTATGTTTTTTTGTAATTTTGTTTTTTTCCCGAGTGGATATTTTTGAACGTTTTTCTATGGTCATATTTCTTTACTTCTAGATGCTGGTTTGAGATTGTAAAATGTTCTTTGGTAGTTCTTGACGTTTCTTACATATAGACTCGAAGTGTAATGCCATTGTAAGTGAACAAGAGAAAATGAATGCCACTTTGAGCTATCACAAGTCACAGGCAGATCAATTGAGGGCTGATATAGCTGCTCTCAAGAAGCAAGAGAGCTCCACACGGCAAGCTTTGGAGGCAAAGGTAAAAAATATTCTTTTTTGAGTGCGTACTAAGTGCATTTTCATGCTTGCCAGATACAGGCATAGAACTTTCATGATGGACTTAAGTCATCTCATCTGTGAGGGTCGAGGCTGTGTAGGGCTTACATCTCGAGTGTTCCATTTTTTAAATCCTGAAATCCTTTCTCTATGCTTTTAATGATCTTTTCTGTCAAATTCTTTTGATGGTAAGTTGATGAGAGATGTCGGTTCACTGCGGTTCCTGAATTTTTCCATATGCGTGTATTTATCTAAAGGACGATGAAAATTTCTCTGGTTTCTTCCTAGGTTATATTCTTTACCTCATAGCTAATACATCAAGTACTTGACAAACCCTACATTTGAGTATGCAACATGCTGATAACCGTTTTTTTTTTTCCTCCTCTTTTTTGTTTTGCAGAAACGGCTGCTTGCCACAGCTCACAATCAGATTGATTCTCATAAAGCCGGCATAGCTTCCAGACGAGCAGAGATGGAGACTCAATTGGTTGATTCCTTGACGCCTGAACAAAGGAGTTTATTATCTTCCTTGAATCCAGAGATCACTCAGTTGAAGGAACAGCTCATTGAGTGCAAAGCCCGTCGGATGGATGTAAGATTTTTCTGAATTCTTTATTTAGTAAAGTTATTAACCTGCTATTCATAGTAACTGGCTTTTTTGTGAAGGCTTATTTGTCTAGAAGACAGTAGATATACTCGCAGCTTATTCCTAGCCTCTGACACGGAGATCTCAGCATTAGGATTCGATGGTAAGGAACGGACGCCCACAAACTGGGCAATAGATTGTACACGTTTAACACAATCTGTAATCAGTACACGTATATGACAAATCAGGAGTGGGAGTTAGAAACATATACGTTGATTTTCTGGAAAAGCAGGGACGTGTACGATTGTGGTTGAAGAGTTTCATTTTCCTGGGGTTATGACAGCTGCTACGGAACACGATGGGACTATCCGGTGTATTGTATAAGCGCAAAACTTGATAGTCGCGGAAGAGTTTTTCTTTTTGTACATATATTCTTTTAAATTACAGTTTTCATCCCTTTCTTTTTATCTCTGTCTCAGGCTGAGACCAGGAAAAGCGAACTGGAGACGCTACTAGCGACAAATCTGGTGAAGAGGCAACAGGAACTGCAAGCTCAGTTAGCTGCATCTGACTCACAAACGATTGTCCAAGATGTGGAACTCAGAAAACAAGAGCTGAAGGATGCCAAGAGTACTGTAGATGAGGCTGTACGACAGCTGAAATGTATGTGCCACATGGGTTGTTGCAGTTTCGGGACAGCCCAGTTTAAACTTCTGCTCTTGTACATATGTCCACATTAAGGCTAAAATATGCGGTCTGTCCCTGATTTTGGTTGGATCACGTTCGCGCGTTTTGAGGATAGTTTGTAGGTTAGTAATATTTTTTTTGTTAATAGTGTTGGTGTGCAATGAATTTGCATCATGTATATGTACTTCTATTCGGTCATCATACTGCTCGTTGACTTGCCTTCACATCATGAGGGATAGATACACTTGTCTCACGCGTTTGTCTTCGCGTTGCAGCGGTGACCGATCAGATCGATAAGCATTCCAAGGGGATACGCGACTTGAAAAATGCACTGGATGAACTCAAGGTGCGTGGGTCAAATGTGCATCTTCAAACTTTTTAATGTGAATTTATCCACTCGTACTTATTTTCTTTCTTTCACGTGGATTCTTTGTATACAGACAGCATGAAGTCCTGTACAGATCATTTTCAATTTGCGCTGATGCAACCTACATTTGATTTTGCTTTAGGCTGCCTTTTCGAGGATTTTTGTACTGCTCCCTCCTGAAATGTAGTTTAAAGTACCAGCAAATTTGAAGCTTAACATGTTCAAACAAATTCTGGGATCGTTTCTTCTTTAATCTGCTTTCTAAGAACATGATTCATGTGCTTTCTTTTGGCTACCTCACAAAATTCTTAATATCGCTAAATGGGCTGTATGATTATCTGCAGCAATATGTGGGTAGTAGTCGGGGAAAAATTGTATTCTCATAACTTTGATCTTTCAGTTGCCTCTAAGACTGCTAGTTTCAATGTGATCACACGTTTCTTTTAATGCGTTCTGTGTGCCCAATCCACCAGAACGTAGGCACTTGATACTGGAGGTGGTCGATAGTGTATTGCACCCTTCAACCTCGTGTATTTGTTCTAGTGAGAACTGAACTATTGCATTTGCACTTCGTTTTGCCACAGGATTATTGTAGTTTGATGGGTGTAGACTGGTTCTTAAATAGTCTTCTTTTTTGTTGTCTAGGGTTTGGAGGACAAATATGAGCTGACTCTGCAAGATGAATCCAAAGATCTGGAACAATTATTGAATACGCGTAATCTTCTCCATGCTAAACGAGAGGACTTGATGAAGAAGATTCGTGACCTGGGATCCTTGCCATCCGATGCATTTGAAAAGTAATCATGATTTCTGTATTTTTTCCATTTGCCCTCATTTCATTGCAGGTTCTGTAAACCAAAGGAGTCTTTCGTTTTGTATCTATGATAAATAACTGCGTTTGAGATTCCAACTTAACAGAGAGGCGTAGCGACTAGTCCTTAGATCTTTGTTGTATAGCTTTTTGCAGTTAGTTATAAGAATGTGCTTCTGGAATGTTCAATTTCCTTTCCCTTGTTTAAGCAGGTGCTGCGTACTTCAGGTAATCTTAATTATCATGAATAACTTGTCTTAAAAGTGACCTTCCGAAGATGTCTCTATTTGCATGTTTAGTTGCTGGCTTAATATGGACGATGGTCAACAGAAAACTTCAGTTATGCTTGTAACATTGGGGTATTGAGGGGCTTCACATTATTGTCCTTGACTACTTCACTATCAGGTATCAGAAAAAGACTTTGAAGGAGTTGCACAAGATGTTACACAAGTGCAATGAGCAGCTTAAGAATTACAGTCACGTGAACAAGAAGGCTTTGGATCAGTATGTCAATTTTACAGAGCAACGAGAAGAACTGCATAAACGCCAGGCTGAACTTGATAGTGGTGACGAGGTAAGTCTCTAAGCTGTAGTATTGTTACCGAGGTGAGGTAGTTTTTGTGAGTCTGTAGAGACATCTTGTGGTGGTCTTCTGTGTAATCCTCTTTTCACCACGTTATGTACTTTCGTTTGCAGCTTTTCTCGTATGCTTTTGCGAATGTAATTTGCAGTACCTCAAGCAATTCGCCATGTCCTGACAACTTATGGGGAGCAGACATAGTGCTGTTCATGACTAAGCTGCATTCAAAGATGAGATCTAATATGGGTTGGACCACTTTTTTTCTTATTTCTTGCAGAAAATTAGAGAACTTATTTCCGTTTTGGATCAACGGAAAGATGAGTCCATTGAGCGGACTTTCAAAGGAGTAGCAAAATTCTTCAAAGAAGCGTTTAGTGAACTAGTGCCTGGTGGCCTTGGCAGCTTGGTGATGATGACAAAACGCAAGGTAGGGAGATCCTTATATTGCTTCCTTCATGATTTTCGTTAAAAGAAATTGTGTGTATTAAACTCTGGTGCAAGTGGAGGTCGAACGCAACTCTTAATCTCACGCTAAATCCGATTTCAAATAGCAAATTGAACTTTATTCTCTTTGAGAGAGTGGGATTATATTTGGATCGTATGTTTACAGGCAGCCGAAGCAGGTGATGATGACCCTGATGAGGAAGGAGCTCCTAATGATGAAGAAGCAAGACGGGAGAAATACGTTGGCGTAAAGGTCAAGGTGAGTTGCTGGTAATTATGTGTTTATCTGAAATATAACTCAATCCAAATTTATCGACATTACTCTTAAAATGTGGTTAAATCATCTGTTTTGTGGTGTGCAGGTGTCCTTCACCGGCCAAGGGGAGACACAGTCTATGAAGCAGTTGTCAGGTGGCCAGAAGACAGTGGTGGCTCTGACTCTCATTTTCGCAATCCAACGATGTGACCCCGCACCGTTTTACTTGTTCGATGAGATTGATGCTGCACTTGACCCGCAATATCGGACAGCAGTTGGCAGTATCCTCTTTTTCCTTCACTCAAACCCTTACAATATGCTTGTGTACTAGTTATGCAATACTCATTGATATTTAGTGGTTATTGTTGCATGAACGCAAACCTTCTCATTTGAAGTTGATTTTTTCATCATTATCTCTGGTGATTGCACGTGTTTTGTTCTACCTTCAGCAGCTCTCCTTAACCTATTGTGCAGACATGATCAAACGGCAGGCGGATGCAGGAGCCACTCAATTCATTACTACCACTTTTCGGCCGGAGCTGGTGAAGGTGGCAGATAGAGTTTACGGAGTGACTCATAAGAACCGCGTGAGCCGCGTCGATGTCATCACGAAGGAGGAAGCTCTTCACTTTATTGAGCAAGATCAAAGTCATCAGCACGAATAATTCTTTAGTATTATCCTGAGCAGTAAGTTGCAGCTTGTGTAATTGTGGATACAGCACATTGGTTTGCCCAGATGCATGCACTGGATCTTGTATGGCTAGATTGTAGACTTCAGTAGTGGCTGGTGAAATGAAAACGTTCATTCGTAGGACTTCATCGTTCAGGCAACCTTGTTGAGGACCCCAAACTGCTCATTCAGTCCGTGATTGGATGGTTTTTAAGACATGTACTAGATGGATCTTTTTGCTTGCATGTCCGTGTCCCGGTGTTGGATGATCTATGAGGAGATTCTAGCATTGCACATTTGGTTTGCACTTGAGAAATTGCAAGTACACAATCTTAATTGTAGCTGGAAGTTGAATGTGGCAAAATGGTTTCAGTGATTTAGATTGTTTGGTGAATTGTCTTTAAATTTAATTTTGTGAACGTGTATTTCATGACAAACTAAACGATTTTAATGGAATGGTCTTGTTTGTTTAGGAAGAAAATGTTCTAAGCTCGCACACGTGTATTATTTAGCTGCTAAATGGGTCTCCTATATAGTTATTTTACACAAATAAGTGATGTTCATTTTTGTCGAAGACGCTGAACTCCAAATACTTCATTTAAAATTTCAAAATTTGTTTTTCCTATTCTTTCCAATTGACTGGAACTGCCATGGCTGTTCTTTGAGCCTACCAGGTCCGTTGAAGTTTTATGGCCCTTATGTACTCGTGGTCATGACTTCTTATCAGAACAAGTGTACTGCCTGCTTAAACTTATCGTATTGCATGTACTAGCCTTAAATTATTGTTGGCCTTACAACCAGGTTGATCCAAAGACTCAAGTGATACAATTTAGGGATGAGCTTGAAATATGTAATCACGACCAACTTCAGGAGACCAGACTTCGGAAATGATTGGTTCTTTTTTGTTATCGTAGTTGCATCTTGCGGTCGGAGCTGAGCCCTGACCCTCCACTAGCTTGACTTTCGAGGCTCCTCCGCGTTGCTGTAGTATAACTATACAGTGTTCCCCCCGTTAATTAATATCATATGTTGCAAGAAAAAACATTACTCATCAAAGGTTATTAATTATGCCCAATAGAACGGAGTCTGTTCCAAGTGACTAATTCATTGCAGATGGGCGGTATGCACAGCACGACGAACAAAGCTGCGACGAAGCAAAGGTTGGTGGAGACGTCTCGATGCACAATCGAACACCCATGGCAGTTCCAGCTTGATGCACACCCTCCTGCCAGTACAAATCTACTATGACGATTGTGACGATGGTGTCAACGGAGACATCACGATCACATGATGGCACGAATCACGTAAATATTGTTCAGTGCTATGCCCACTTGACATTGACTGCCTCTACCGATATGTGACTCTGTTCTATTGCCCATGTTAGATTAGGGTCGGCCATAAAACTATTGATATAACCATCATTATGCGACTGGACAACATTAATAGTCTCACTCCCTCTTGTGTGGGAGACTGTGCATGTGGTTACATAATTAACCAGGGAAGAGATTGTTGGAGACTGAATCGAGGCAGCTCTTGATTTATTTAGCTGCACGGTTGAAAAAATGGAAATACTTGTAAGAGTCTGAAGAAACTCCATACTTTCTAGGAGACCGGTGTGAATGAACAGGACTCTAACTCAACATGGTTTTGTTACAAATGAACCATTGTCGGAGTTAACTTGCAGTGGAGGCGCTGCAATCCCTTTTGAGAGCATGGCAGATCAATATCCCCGATCTGCGAGTGTCTTAGAAGGTTGGGACGTGACTCAGGAATATCCTTGCACGTACCTGTCAGTGGAAGGAATTCTCACGTGGCTGTTGTTATCACAAAAAAAACGAGTGTCCTGTTACTGAGATGAGATTACAGGCACTCACTGAGTGAGATATATACCAGCCTGTATTAGTTATACCCGACCCTAATCTAACAGACTAAGTTCATCCAAACATAAGAATTAATTGTCATGCACACTTGCAGAATGCTAATAGTCCAACACCCTCCCTCATTCTGAACGTCACTTGATTCTCTATGGACCGATTTGGGAATCACCGCAGGATATCTGGTCGAGATATAGTGTGCAAACTTTTTGCGGTATGATTTTCTTCTTCTTATTTGGTGAAGTTAATGATTGACTTCTACACGTTTGTTTTGCTGAATTTGTTTAGTTTTGGCAGAGTAAGCTTGCAGTGTTGATAGTATGGGTTGTTCTAGCTCTTTTGTACAAGGTCCTTCAAAGTTGTTTTTCGTAGAGTGGATATGCTCTTGCTTTGTCGAATTGAAATTTCCTTTTGAAAATCAGGTTAGTGCTGAGTTTGTTTGTTGTTTTTGAAAGATGTAAAACCCTAGAATTTGTAGAGCTAATCTTTGGTGTTGTGCTGCTTAGATGATCTAGATGGAGAGTTGTTTTCTGTTTCTTCGTGAGGTTTTGAGGATAAGTTGGATGATGGTCTCTGGGGTCTGGCTTCGTCTGACCAAGTGAAGTCACCATGTTGTTCAAAAATCCATGGAGTTGAGTTTTTGCTACCGGCAGGGGTTGTGCAAGAGACTATGAGCGGTGTGAGATCTATTTGGAGCAGACGACCATGGCGGGAGACAACGAATGTAAGGATGATATTGACTAATCTTGTGAGTAAGTTAGAATGTAGAGATTCTAGACATAGCTGTAATCTATGTGCAGGGAGTTGTGAATGCTTGAAGTACTATGTGGTTATAGTTGAATGGGCAATTAGAGCAAGTTTATGGTCAAGTGAGAGTGATTTCTTAAATAAATCTTTTATTGCTTATTACCTTAGGCATATTAAGAAATAGAATATAGGAATTTTGATGCTATAACTCCAATTGCACTTCTATAGAATTCAAATGTTCTCTTGTCTAAGGGTTTTGTCAAAATATTTGCTAGTTGAGAAGAGGTAGGAATGTATTGTAATTCTATTTCTCTCTCTAAAATCCTTTCTCTTACAAAATGATTATCCATTTCTATATGTTTAGAGTGGATGTGGAATATGAAATTCTTAAGTGGTTTTATAGTATCTTGGTTTTCACAATATATTTGAAAAGGTGGTATATGTAGTTGATTAAGGATTTTAGAATTTGAGGATGCCAATACAATGGAATGGAAAGTAATGAGGCCGAACTTGAGAAGAAGGTATCAAATCCAAATACCTTTTTGGATGTTAATACTCAAAGCTTTGTACTCCAATTTGGTGGAGTTGTGTGACACCATAGATTGATGCTTACTACTCCATGTAAGAGGCCTTGCTATCATTGTAAAGAGATATGCATTGGTGTTGTAACAAGTGTTGCAACAAGCATCTTAGTCTACATTAGAGTAGCTCAATACTTATTGGCTATTGTGAATTAAAATATACCCCTACTAGTTAAAAGCCTATTTTAATTCATAATAATTTAATTATTTAATTAATCTAATACTTTTTCATTAACATTTAATTTATGTCCCATTATTCCAATAACTTTTCAATTGTCAGTTAAATAAATCCTTCTATTAGATGATTTTTCTACTTTATTACTACTTATTAACTTATGAAATGATTTAATAAAATTTCCTCCTGTTTCTTATTATAATATTTAGATCTTCTAACTAATTTAATTCACACTCACACAACCCACTACAATAATATAAGCTATTTCAAATAACTATCATGAATTCCAACCTTAAAAGAATTTTTTTTATATAATTTTATTTTATATTATTTACATATTTTATTTTATTTTCTATCTTCTACCAATAAAATTTATCTAAGGTTAAAATTTATCTAAAATAATTTTTTATCCATAAATAAGTTTTTATTTAGATATGATTTTTTATCTATAAATAAAAAAATTTCTATTTTTAATTAATATTAATTCATAAGATTCCATCCATTCAATACTAATTCATCCAACCATATTTAACTTTGTCCTATTGAATTACTTCATCCAATGGCAATTTTCATCCAATATAAGTTAATTCAACCTAAGAATCTTATAGAATTAAATGTTGCACAAAATAGTCATTCACGACTATTAATTCTAATATTGTTGTAGGCACTAACGAGACCACCAATAATTCTTCACCAAATTCTTCTCAAGATGGTACCAACTAATATTTGTCAAGTAAAAAAAGCCTTATAATAGCAACTTCCAACTATTGATCTACAACAAATCCAATTCAAATTCATAATAGGGTTTCACAACTATCTACTTTTTACAATACTAATCTACTACAATATCAATCCAATAGTCTAATATTTAACTACCTCCTCAAGCTGGATTAAACATGAATATATGTGCATAATGGTTTAGGAATTTTGTATAAGAGTGTTCAACTACAAATCAAATGCTTAGAATTAGAACTTGAGGCTACTTTGCAAAATTAGAATGATCTATGCTAAAAGATTGCAATAACTAAGCATCCAAACTAACAAAATAACCTTCTCAATATCACATCAAGTTAAAGACTCTAGTCTTTGAATTGGTTTCTCAAAATTAGATACAAGTTAGAGGTCTTATAGAACTTCGCCACATTGTTCCTAGATAGTATAGATGGATGTAAGAGTGAACCCTTCTTCACTCTTGTTAACATCTTTTTAGTCCTTAGCCTAGTTTAAAGACTTTTTAGTCTTTTTGTCTTTAGCAATAGCCATTTTAATTTAATATTATATCATTTTAGAGGGACAAAAGAATTTTTTGATCTTTTAGTTCTTTGAAATTCTTAACTTTGATAACAATTTGAAAAGCAAAAATTAGAGAGAGTTCTTTGCTCTAGTCATTATTAATTGATGCTTCTTAATTATAAAATATATATATCAATAGGACTTAAACACATATTTTACACCAAATTATATAAATATAATAATACAATAGCTAATATCATCACTTGAAATATATTTGTATTACAAAATGTTTGGAACTAGTAGTCATATTTTTTATACATTTATTTTTCTACTTTATTTTGTTGTAGAATTCTATAGATTATAAAATGATGTACAATCCTACATTTCTTGCAAATATGCTTGAATCCCTTAAATTTGTATTTTCTACCATTGTCAAACCTCAAGCTTTTTATTTTCTTTCATGATTGCTTTTCTATCATAGTCTTTTATTCTTTGAACAAACAATATACCTATAATTTTACTTTTATGAAGAACATCCATATTTTTTTTGTAGAAAAATCATCTATAAAAGAGATGAAATATACAACACCAAATATAAAAGTATAGAAGATATTCTTAGATTGTATAAACTTGGTATAAGTCTCCAATCATCTAAGTGTATACAATCCAAAAATATCCTTTGCA